ACGGCCGTCCTTACCTCCCCACCCCCGCGCCGAGCCCGGGCCGAGAGCGCGGCGCAGGCCGTGCAGGGCGATTCCAGCTGGGACCCAGCAAATGGAGGAAAAGGAAGCCGCTGTGCAGTTAAACCGGCCCGCTGCCAAACCTCTTGGCCTTGCTGGGTCTTGGGTGACAATGCTCATCTTGCACTTTGCCTTTGCAAGCTGGAGGCGGCTTGCATCCTCATGCATTGAGTCCTCAACTTGGCATTTTCAACTGGAATCTTCCACCTTTTCTTCCATCTTAGATTTGCTTTCTTACGGGTTTCTCCAACGATTCGTTTGAAACTCCTTAAAATTTTATTTCAGTCTTGACTTGTATAACATCAGTTGGCAATTATCATACGCAGGGAGTTTTTTTCCCCTTAGTATTTGGTTTGATTCTTGTAAGTCCTGCCTTACAAATTGGATCTTAAGTTCGGAAAGGGCGAGGGCAGAGCCTTTCTTTTGTCTTTCGCACGACCCCTGGTGCAGGGCCTGGGAAATAGAGGCCTGTTTAAGATAGAGGCCTGTTTAGGAGCGAGATCTCTGCTCCATACTGCGTGGTTTTAATACTCCTTGAATAAGCCTCAGAATTACATTTATAAGTTTTCTCTACGTGCCTAACCTCCTGTAAGGTCGGAGCTATCCGATTTAGGAGGAATCCCAGCTAGATCATAGACTTTGATTCTCTTTCTGTCCCTGTGTAAACACTCTTGACCAAATCATACTGAAATTAATTCTAAAAGCTCTTGAAAAATAAAGGCCAGTGATTTGGGAAAAAGGAAAATAGACTCTCGAAAAGAAGTCCATTATTTTGTTGCATTTCAGCAGTTTAATTTTTCTCTATAATAAATAAAGGTGGGGTTTGTTTGTGAAGTTCTAAGGACCAGAATTTGTATTTGTGATAGACGTTAACATCTTCAACCCCGGACAATCTGCACATTGACCCCCCACAGTGCTTCCCTGTATGCCTGAGGACATCAGTTACACCCAGTTGAATGCTCTAGCTGGCATAATAGTCCTGCCCCACTGTTAATCTGAAATTTGGGAGCATGGAAATGTGAAATCTCCCCTGGAGGCTATTATGATTTAACTGATAAAAATTTTATTTTTAGGGCAGGCCGGTTAGCTCACTTGGTTAGAGCCCAGTGTTACAACACCGAAGTCACGGGTGGTTCAGACTTGGACCAGCAATCCGCCAAAAAAAAAAAAAAAGAAAAACTTACTTTAAAGTTTTCTTTTCAATGGTTTTTACGAGGCCTCATGTCTTACCAAGCAGTCATGTATAAAGATGAAATGTTAATATTTGTGGAATGATTTGAGTTGAAATTAATGAACTATGTACAGTACTGGTAATCCTCAGTTCGAGTTCATGGAGATAGTGAGGCTAGCCCCCAAAATAGAAACTTCTAAATAGTGCCAAAAACTCACTTTAGCCTTTGGTTATAATGTCTTCGAAGCTTATAAACAATCCGCAAACTGGAATTTGAACTCTTCTTTGCTCTTATTCGAA